TTATCCATAAGAAGCATCTCCTCATCTGTTCAAGTTTTATTATGAGATGCAGCAATTCAGTCACATCTTCAGGCTCCACTTCTTTTTTTTTTTTTTTTGAGATGGAGTCTCGCTGTGTTGCCCAGGCTGGAGTGCAGTGGCGCAATCTCGGCTCACTGCAAGCTCCGCCTCCTGGGCTCCCAGGCTTTTGGACCTCCACCCATTACATGTGCATTTCATGTAGCGAAAAGGAAGGCAGGTAGGAAATAGCTAGCAGTCTCTGTTATAGGCATGTTGCCACTCCAAATGAAATTTAGGTGTTGATAATGAGAGAGAAGAGAATGGAGGCAGAGATACCTGTCATACCAGACATGTAGAAAATAAATAGGAAACAATTCCTACCTCCATGAAGTTTACCATCTAGGGAGAAGAAAGGCATGTAAACAAAGAATCGTCATGGTGTAATTATTATAATAAAATAAGCACAAAAGACTTGAGAGCTCAGAAGAGGAAACAACTGGAGAAACTTCTAAGAGAGCTCAGGGAAATTTTCATAGAGCAGGTGCTGTTTGGACTGAAAGAAAAATAGGGGTTAGGAAAAGTAAAGGAAATGTTGGTTAAAATTAGAGGCAAAAAGAAGAGTATTTAACAGTGCAATAAGCACAGGAGTTGAGAGGGATTGTTTTAATTAATTCCAATGTGGGTTAAATTGATCAAGAGAAAATTCCTCCAAAGGCAGCACAAGAATTTCACTTGACCTCCTGATTTCTTGTTTTTAGTTAGATTACTACAGACACTGTCAGGTTAAAACATTTTATCAGAGTGTCTGTTCCATATAACATGTGATAAGTATATGTATACACTGTATGGTTTAAAATCTTGTGACTGAAAGAAAAATTTAAATTATATCAGTCTCTCATTTTCTCTCTGATGCTGTCAGATTACATCAGAAACCAAGTTTTATGAGTGCTGAGCTTTGCTCTGAGAATTTTCATGCCAGAAACAATATACATATATAAATAAACAAATGTTAGTTTATATTCTTCCTTGTGTGATAAGTGTGAACAGTACCCCTCAGTTAAAAATATCAGCATAAAAACAAACGCATACCAGATGGTGAGTTTAAGGGAAGAGACTTTCTAATGTCTTTTTTGTGTAATAGTGTCATGAGTTTTTTTTTTTTTTTTTGAGATGGAGTTTCATTCATGTTGCCCGGGCTGGAGTACAATGGTGTGATTTCAACTCACTGTAACCTGTGCCTCCCGGATTCAAGCAGTTCTCCTGCCTTAGCCTCCCAAGTAGCTGGAATTACAGGCATATGCCACCACATCCAGCTAATTTTGTATATTTTTTAGTAGAAAACAGGGTTTCACCATGTTGGCCAGGCTGGTCTTGAACTCCTGACCTCAGGTGATCCAACTGCCTTGGCTTCCCAAAGTACTGGGATTACAGGTGTGAGCCACCACGCCAGGCCTTTTTTTGTCTTTTAAATTAATTATTAATGGGCTGTTAGAGAAGTATGGCTACTAATTCACTTACTGTAAGTACCAGTTTGCCTGCTACAATAAATAACCCTTTAAATAAGTGGTTCTCTTAGTAGGTCACGGACTCTTTTAAGAATTTTTTT